TCGGTGCTTTACTCGTTTCAACGCACAATACGCCGCGGCGTCTCGTTTCTCGTGGCAGAATGCCACGAACAACCCTCTCGCGGGATCGATCATGTCCTGCTTCCGAGATGCGTTGGACGTGACTCGCCCCCGAGGGGAGATCGCTTGGCCCCCCGGTTCAACGTGCTCTTTTCGTTCCTCTGGTAGTTTCGATACACGCGCGGAAGACTCGCGACATTCTGTTGGCGAGCTTGGCTCGCGATCGTCGAATTTATTCGCGAAATAACCCTTTGCACTCCACTGGGGTTGCTATGGCGATATTCATTGATTCAAGTTTCATTTATTATGACGCAAATTGAATTTAGAAAAATTAAATTATTGGAGTATTTTATTATTTTTAGAAATCACAAAATTGTAATTGGTATTGCTTGATATTTAGAGGAGGATGGCTGGTACTTGTCGAACAGTATTTTTTGAGAAAAGGTACACTCAAGTATCTATTGGCTCACTTTCGTCGTACAACACATCGTCATTGGGCACGCCAAACTCTGAACTAGAGTGGGGAGCCAATCAGACTCGCTAGCCAGCTTCTCGCGGACGCACAGTAGCTGTCATGAATATCGAGAATATCAAAGTGTGGATATTTGAAAATATAACTCAAAAATCTTGATAATTGTTCGACGAGGGTCAAACGTAAATAAATAAGTCAAGAAATTGAAAATACGTGAATAATTTTAAATAAAACCTGAGACATTGTATTGGTCAAGACGTATAAATAATTAAAAATGGCACCGTTTCTCGAGAAACGTATGACAACGAGAAGTGCTTACGAGGAGAATGGGATCCGCCGTCGAGAGGTCGATAATAATTCTTACATATTGGCTCTATCCCAACGACAAATCTCGACGTCGAAAATGGCACCCAGCGGATATATTACAACGGATATTGGAAGGCTAGAGCCGGGACGTTAAATCGTAAGAGGTCGTTCGATTTGCTAAAGGATTACATTTCGCGGATCGAGACCAGTGTAGTACGGGGAACTGTACCGAAAGCTGTTACGGATAAATCTTCGTTTCTCGACTACTGCAAAAGGAAACGGCACGTTTTACTTCGCGTTGCTCGCGAATACTTTACAGTTTGAATAACGGGAAACGCGATCCGTTTTGCGTCTCGTTCCTCGCGATACATTCAATAACCGTGGCTCGAAGCCCGCGGACGATTCAGGGGGAATGGTAACCGATCATAATTCTAATCCAACCGGCCGTTTCTTCTTCCATCGTTCTGTCCGATGCAAAAAATGACTCGAAACGGTCCATTAACAATGCTTATCGGTTCCTTATTTTACGCCCGGCGGCATGTAACTCGATGTAACGGCTGGCAGGAATTTATCGTCCCGCAGTGCACAGGCACTTGCCGCGGAAGATTAGAGAAATCGATTTCTTCGCTTTCCCTCTTCCGCCGCGCCGGGGCGAGTCAACTATAAATTCATGCGAAGGGAGAAAAAAATGCCGCCGCGTCGTTCGCGTTATCCGTTAATAAACGCCGATCGTGGCCGCGACAACCCGAGGACCGACGGTATTCCGCGAAAATCGAAGCGCCAGAGTCGAATAATTGCTTAATTATCCGCGATTCATTAGTCGTGCCCAATTATACGATCCGAGCGTTAAACGGGGTATTAAGTGTAAAATACAATGTTAAAACGTCGATGCACGGGGTCCCGGGGCTTCCCGCGGAACGGAGAAAATTTAATTCCCTCGTTCGATTGTATCCGTGGGAGCTGGCGTCGGATTCAAAAATTTTAATAGGCGCGCCACGCGTTTCACGAATTCGAGGACCGAAGAGGGGGGTGTTAATTGTTTTTCCGTCCGCAGCGTTTGCAATTTGTACTATTCAACACCGTTGAGTGTTATCGTCGATTTATTGCGGCGGAAATCGATTATATTAAACGGCGTTAACTAGACAAGTACGCTGATTTCTGTCTCCGTTTCGAAGGAGCGAGTATTTTATTAGCAATCGAACCGTTCGCACTGGACAGATCCCACTTTTTGAAATATTTTAAATTTGAGTATTAAAGCACTTGGTTCAGACATAACTATTTATAATAAAAATTAACACCATCAGACTATAAAATATTGTGGACTTTGAGTAATAAATAATTTATTTCAGAAGCCATTCTAGTTGATTTTGTACTCTAAAAAGAATGTACATTGTTTTGTTGGCATTCCTTCGCTTTTTGTTTCATGGAGTTAATAGATTTAAATATAGTATGATATTTTGGACTGCATATCAAGATACCAGTTGCCAACTTCTCGCGTACGAACAGTACAGTTTACTGAAAGTTACATCTGTATATATGCGTTCTACAAAGTTCATTTGAATTTATATCATAAACGGAATTTTAAAAAACAATGTATATTTTGGACTGTATATAAAGATACCAGTTGCCAACTTCTCGCGTACGAACATTACAGTCTGCTGCAAGTTACATCTATATTTATGCATTCTACAAAGTTTATTTGAATTTATATCATAAAAGGAATCTTAAATAACAATGTACATTTTAGAGTGCATATAAAGATACCAGTTGCCAACTTCTCGCGTACGCACAGTACAGTTTGCTGAAAGTTACATCTAAATTTATGCATTCTACAAAGTTCATTTGAATTTATATCATAAAAGGAATTTTAAAAAACAATGTACATTTTGAGCTGTATATAAAGATACCGGTTGCCAACTTCTCGCGTGCGAACAGTACAGTCTGCTGAAAGTTACGTCTGTATTCCTGCATTCTACAAAGTTTATTTGAATTTATATCGTAAAAGGAATCTTAAATAACAATGTACATTTTAGACTGAATATCAAGATACCAGTTGCCAACTTCTCGCGTACGAACAGTACAATCCGTTGCAAGTTACATCTGTATTTATGTATTCTACAAAGTTCATTTGAATTTATATCATAAAAGGAATTTTAAATAACAATGTACATATAAAAATACCAGTTGCCAACTTTTCGCGTACGAACAGTACAGTTTGCAAAGAGATCCACGTGAGTCAAGGGAGAATTTTTGCGCCAAATCGAATGTAGGAGGCAGTGGTAGGAACCGAGCCCTGATATTGTATCCGCGGGGATGACCAGCTCCTAGCCGGCGATACGTTATTGGAAGAATGCCAATATCGATGATTTACCATGAAATCCGCTAGTTATTGCGTGGGAAACGCGGTCTCATTATTTATACGTTATATCGCGCCGGTAGTTTTCCAGCGAGGCCGCCGCGCGGGAAAATAAAGTGCTGTCTGCGGTTCGATGAAATAAGCGATTTTCGCGGACCCCGTCGCCCGTAGGAAAGCAGAGCGAGAGAGATCGAGGCCAAACGAAGGAAGGAGAAATCGATGTCGGACAAGCGTCTCGAATTATTGCCGGATGTTTGGCAACCGCATCGATTTACAGGCCTGGTTTCTCTTTTCCTGCCCAGGCGCGACACAGAGTGGAAAAGAGCTGCTCCTCGATTCGATAGAACTCTGATTTGAAATCCCGCGAACGCCTGGGTCCCGAGATTCGATCAAGGGGGATGAATCGGTACGACTGTATCGTGTCTAAGGGTTGTCACGGAACTAATAGAGGATCGAGGGGAGCCTGAACCTGGATCTGTCATCTACTGTTGACTTGGGCTCCCCAACATTCGTGAAATGAATTTTTCTGCTTTTTTTAAATTGGGGATATTCTAGTTCTCAATCGTCTGAAAACAAAGCTTTGCTTTCCTGGGCAATTTTAGAGGTTTGATGTGTACCACGATTAATTTTTGTAACAATTTGTACACGATTAAAAGAGTACAATAGTTTTGAAGATAGAGTGGGAACTCTGAAATCTCTGGGGGTAGTTTCACCCCTTAAATTTGAGTCACTGTCTTAGTTTTGGCCACTCACTAAATTTGGGAAGTTTCATCGAAATAGGGGAGGGGGACCTTGACGAGTGTTTCTTGTTTGTTAAGATTGCATTAAGGAATGTTTTCGTTAATCAAATTTAATATAAATTGCTAGTAAATAATGTTTACGAGTGTAATATAAAGAATACTTTGATAAAAAATTAATTATGGATTGATTTGATATTCTGTCTTTAACACGACGCGAGTGGAGGCTTTCAAACGCGCAATGTTTAATGCCAATCGTTGTAACGCGATAAAAGTCAGTGTCGTCGCTGTCAGGAGTCGAACAAAACGAATAACGAGAGGGCTCGAAATTGTTGGAAATTAATTGGGTTCGTGTGTACCATTATACGCGATCGACGAACGAACGTACTCTCTTTCTCGATTTGTATTCCATATATTTTTCCATACCAATGACTCCGGCTGTTTTTACTGCGTATAAGCGCGCCTGGTTTTGATTAAATTGAAACGTATTGCGCAAATACTGCAGCCGAGGCTGGGAAATTAAAAGAGTAATTGATCTGCCAACGGAATCCAGGATTTTTGTATCGTCCACAAAGAGTGCTTTTGCAATTATTTGGTCGACCAGAACATTCCTTTGCTCTAATTTCTTTCACGATCTAACAGAAATTTCAATATCGAAGGAATATATTAAAAAAAAACTACACGATCTAATAAAATAAATTCTATTCTTCTATTATCGTCGATGTTTTATCGAATCGAAATGTGTTTGGTAGAATAAATAGCTATAATTAAACTAAAAGGGGCTTAAAAATATAACAGCTAAAATATTATCTTAATAGAGAAATCAACCCTTTCGTTCGAGTGATCCTGTTATTTGTTTATGTAATTGTAGATGACAAAAGATGGTCTGTATCGGTTGCCGTGGTATCCTCGTAAGTAATTCGCAATAAATATTCATCGAAATATCGCACGAGCGCAGGAGACAAATATATTCTACGATAATTGGCTTACCATCGCAAAGGATTACATTTGCGTTGCATTATCGTCGTTTAGAAATGGAAATCTCTTAGAAAAGCGATACGATATCGATCGTATCTGTTTATCGAACTCGATCTAGCATGTTTCTCCTCACCTGGCCAATTCTCTCTGAAGGTGATGGACTCTGGAACGTGCTCTTTCAGCTTCAGCCGTAGCCTCGCGTACCCGAGCTTCGGCCTCCATTCGTTGTCGTCGTTCGCGTTCCACATCTCGTTGCGTAGCCTCTCTCTGCAACAAACAAACCACCATTTTTGTTAGTTAAAATTCATAAATTAATCGTAGACGAGTGCAAAAGAGAACACGAGTTTACGAGAATCTCTGTGGAAGGATCGAACGTGTAATTTATCTGAAAATTAGAGCAACAGACGTCGAAATGTGCCTCATGGAATAAAATATTGATGGAAGTATAGTAGAGCATCGAGTATTGGAACGTCGATTAAATGCAAATATAGACAGGCTTGGCCTAGAAATCTGTAGTGCTGGGCAGAATTAGAGCACATTCTCTTTTCTACTAAAATTCAATATTCCACGAATATATTTTGCACTACGAACAGTTTTCTAATCGTACTTATACCATAAAACTAGTCTTAAATTTCTGTATCTAATTTTCTACTGATAAAATCGCCATTGATAAAAGTTTTTCTCAATTGATCGATAATCTCAATTTTTAACATTGAGAAAGACTTTTCAGGAAGAGATTAGATATTAGATTCTCGCGACATTAACTCTACTGTCATTGCAACCCCAACACACTATTCTTCAAGGTCTCAGAGGATCATTCGATCCTCGTTGAACCAGTTCACCCCTGCGTCATCCGAAAACGTTCCAGTGTCCTCGAAACCGACAATCGAGGACCTCGTGCTCGTCGTTTCGTCTTATTCACATGCAAATTCCTAGCTTTTCGAGACCATTGATCTTCCTCCCCTGATGCATCCAAGCATTTTTTTTTTTCTGCAGATGTTCATCGACCCTCGCGATAATTTCCAGTGCTCTTTTCTCACCCCTCGAATTTCCGGCGAGAGTCCAGCAGACTTTATCGCGACATTGTCGACGCTTTTCGGCTCGGACGAGCATAAGCGACCAGTTTTATGGCCGCGGGGAACGCGAAATGAATCGTAAAAAAAAAAAGAGGAGCTTAACGAGCAAATAAAACATCGACACGGGACTCTTCCGGGCAAATACATACGTCCTATTTACGATTCGTTTCCCGTCAGGACAACGTTGCGATCAGAAACGATAACGGGAGACTCCCGCGGCTCTGGCTTCCGGTTCCGAACTCGAATCGTTATTGCGAATTTTACGTCGTCTGGAAACACGGCTGTCGAATCGGAGGGAAACATTGTAAATCGAAGAAGATCGTGAATCAGTGTTCCTCGAAGTCGAGCAACCCCTAAAACTATCACTAGATTTTGTAAATTATTTTTATTCACGTTTAGAAATCCTAACCAATTTTTAGTAAATCGAAGAAGATCGTAATTCAGTGTTCCTCGAAGTCGAGCAATCCCTAAAACTATCATTGGATATTGTAAATTATTTTTATTCACGTTTAAAAATCCTAACCAATTTTTAGTAAATCGAAGAAGATCGTAATTCAGTGTTCCTCGAAGTCGAACAACCCCTAAAACTATCACTAGATTTTGTAAATTATTTTTATTCTCGTTTGGAAATCCTAACCAATTTTTAGTAAATCGAAGAAGATCGTAATTCAATGTTCCTCGAAGTCGAGCAATCCCTAAAACTATCGTTAGATGTTGTAAATTATTTTTATTTTCGTTTAGAAATGTGTAGTTATTTTTACTGTTTGTAATTGGTAGCAGTGGAACTGAGATATGAGGGGGAATACCATGGTAGAGCGCCCGATAGTGAGTAATAGTGATATGAGAGGACACATGGAGAAATTTGTACGTTTATTGTTAAATTTCGAAATAAAATGTATTTAAGTATAATAATGAGTTGTTTAAAATCAGTGGTCTGAACCAAACACCATCCCACCTAGAAATCTTAACCAATGCTTTTTTAGTAAATCGAAGATAGTAATTCAGTGTTCCTCAAAGTCGAGCAACCCCTAAAACTATCATTAGATATTGTCGGGAATGTGAAAAGAACGACGATTTATTTTGTGTCTCCATTCATGACAGAACGATCATAGGATGGTACATTGCTGGTCGAATCGTAAATGAATAAAATTGATTTTACTCTTTTCAAGAAGAAGATGGCGGGCGGTGGCCTTGATCACTGGAGAAAGAGTCTACGTAGCTGAATTTGGAGCTGCCTGTGCCAGGAGATTCTTTCCCGGTTGTGTCGAAGCCTTTTGACGAGTCCTTCCCTGTCCTTAGACGGTGATGTTTACACAACAACGGATCCGTAGCGAAAGAGAGTCGATCAACAGGAGGTGTCGCGAGGCCAGCTGCGCCCCACCACCAAAACCACGCGTATTGGCCAAAGATGCATTATCACGCATGACATATCACATTGTAAATTATCTTTATTCTCATTTAGTAAACCCTAACCAATACCTTTTTCATCTCCATCGTTAAAATTCTGTGTTTTTTTTCAAGAGAATACGCGAATTGTTTATGCAAGCATAGGATCGATCCACCTTCCCACGTCCATTCCGCGTTGGAGTTCGATACGCTTTCATATTGATTGTACGGTCGGATTAATTTCGCCTTTTTTCGCAACGTAACGAAAATAAATTGGCTCTCAGGGAATAATCCTACGCAGCTTTTATTGTATACTTTAATACGCGCCCGGTCCGTTCATTTTATTTTTGTCGTTCTTTCGAAACCCGCCGGGAAAGCTGATCGAGTTTTGGAAGTGTGTTCGTGCGTGCGTTCTGCGTCTGACACTGTCACGTTTTTTTCATCGTTTCGCTACAGGACGCCCTGTCATCGGGAAATGACAAGTTCCGAAACTACCGAAACCTTCTACAAAGCCATTTTAATTACGATTTCCAAATTCAGAAAACTGTACGTTTCTTCGACGAATTTCACTGCTTACAATCAGAGTAAAATAATAGAACTCATATATAATTAATAAATTCATATGTATATTTTAATTTCAATATAAAAGGCTCCTTCGTGTGACTGTGTTTGACGATTATGAAGTGAAATCCTTGCATTCGCGAATCTTTTCGAGCTAGGTTTATTTTAATCCAAACTAGGGTGCTTCTCGAGCATGTTAATCCTTTGATCACGAAAAGTGCCTATAGAGGTTCAGTCAGTTGACTGTGTGCGTTAAACGCCTATGAGCGTCCAACGTGTGTGTTGCTCAAAGAGTGAAAAAGTTTCCCGCACACGATCTATGGGTCAAAATTGATTGTAGTTAAAGGGTTAACACATGACAGGTTTTTTCACAGTGGAATCAGAAGAATTAAATCACAAGTTGAAATATCACAGAATATGAATTTCAATAGACTCGTGAATTTTAAATAATTCTACGAATTTCAAATTCAGAAAATTGTCGTACGTTTAGACGAGAAAATCACTGTTTAGAAACGGAGTAAAAAGGTAGAATTAATTTTAATACAAATGGCTCCTTCGTTTCAATCACAATTACAAAACGTGACAGGAAAAATGATTTAAAAAATTTTTTAAATATTCTTCAGCCACACAATGTTTCTAAATCGTGTCTCCATCTTAACTTAATTTCAAATTCAACTAACTGTTTCCAGTGATCTCCATTAATATTGTAAATCTAGGAATTGTTATATGATAGTGTATACATTCAAGGCTTCCAAAGTATTGCCCCTGTTTAGAAACAGAGTAAAAAGGTAGACTCAATCTCAATACAAATGGCTACTTCGTTTCAATCACAGTTACAAAATATGACAAGAAAAGTGATTAAAAAAATTTTTTAAACATTCTTCAGGCAATGTTTCTAAATTTTCTGAGCTTTCGAGTCTCCCAACTTTCCCCGTAAGTATAATAGGAGGTTTTTGAAGCGTCCACGCGATCTCGAGCCGAAGGTAAAGAGATTCGTGACTCCGCGCGGCGGTCGGACATTTTCTTGATTAAACCAAGATTCAAGCTCGATCCGATCGAACCGAGAGAGCCAGTGGGTGGGTCTGATAAAAAAAAGCAGAGGAGGAGAGCTCGTCGATCTTCGACCGGCGGTGGGAGGAATTATTCATGAATTTAAATCGAAGCGTTGCACGGTACATTGATTGCACCCTTTCGATTCTGTGCGCGGCTAGAATCGCCTCCACCTACTTTTGCCCCGGCCCCCCTGCCCTATCAATAATTGCGCCCCGACCAAATGTGCCGAAAGCAGTATTTCACGCGATTTAACCCCGCGACCGTGTTGCGCCTATGGCCGCCGCCGATAAATCCACGGCTGCAGAAACTTGGAAAATGTGTCGACCTCGTATCGGTCGTCCCGAACTCCTAGCGGGGAATATTTGTTGGGAATCCTACGTTAGACCGTACCCGGTATCTTCCCTCCCTTAACGTTTCAATTTCCTCGGATTGCAACGGGACTTCCGTTATTTCACGACGCTCGCCAGGATCCGTGGAATCCCCGTCCGAATCCGGCGGATTTTTCTTTCTTATCGCGCGGACCAACGATCCCTGAACCCGCAGTCTGCTGCACGCGGATCGCTCGCAAACTTCCCTCGAATCTGCCACAGAAAATTCCAACCATCCTCGTTTACCCACGTATTTATTTATTGTAAACCGGACGAACGAAGAAAAGGAATTTTGTCCCTGGATACCTTTATACGAATTAATTTTTATATACGACGCTATATAAAAGACATTTTAAACGATGAAATTGTTATAAATCTGTCTCATGCCACGAGCAATTGATTTTATTGACGAAGAGTGAGGAGAGAATCGATCACCTTTCTCGAATTTGAACCCTGAGAAACAAGCACTGAGAACTAAACATTTTTTATAAAAATTTGAATTGTGGTTCCACGAATATCACCACAAAATAGAATTACTCTATCATACCTATTATCATAAAGCTAAAAACTATTATTCCTACCGTTCACAGAAATCGTCGAAATGATACAAAACCGGTGATTTCAATGCTTGTATTTCGAATCGAGTCTATCGTTTAATTTCAATTGTAAGCCACTAAAAACTAACGGTTTTAAATTGCAATTTCCTCGATCCGTATCCTTCGGTTTTCCTCGACAAAGGATTCAATCTTGGAGGAGACTCTTGTTCGAAGCTACGAGGGAATTAAGCGACGATGGTTAAAGTCGTTGCAATCGGGAGGAGAGG